TCGGAACCGTCCCATCCGGTTCCTCGCAGATGCTCGGGGCGAAATTGAATCCCAGCGAGGCGTGTTTGTTCTGGAAATAACGTGCGTGGGGTTGTTTGCCAGAACAAATCAGTCTTTGTCCCGATGCTGTGCCTGGGACAAAGGTGGCCTGACCCCCGTGGGGGGTCCACCCAGGCCGCACAGGCCTGCCCCTCCCCCAGAGGAGACATCTGCAGTTGGGGAAACTGAGGACAGAGCAGGAAGGGTCAGCCACGGGCCGGGAGAGCTAGGGGCTGGCCCACCTACCCTCTCCCCTTCCCCCAGCAGCCTCCTGTCCTCTCTGTCGCCTCCTGCCCCAGCCCAGAAAAGCCCAGATAGGGTATCAAGGCCTCAGCCTTGAGCGCAGGGCTCTGGTTTAAATCCATCTGCCTGCTGCATACCTTGAGCGAGTCACTTAACCGCTCTGAGCCTCAGTCTCCCCCTCAGAACACCAGGTGGATAGCTGGGAGGAATCCCTGCAGACTGTGCGAGGCGCTGGGCTGGGGCTCCATGACCGGGGACCAGGGATCGTTAGGATTGTGACTTCTCGGGGCAGATGGTACTGCCCCCGGTCTTCAGCTGAGGGAACAGAGACCAGGGTGGACAGAGCACAGAGGACTGGCCAGGACCTGGCTGGGGCTGGCGTCTCTGTGCCCCACTCCCCCCAGCTGTCTGGACCTGGAAGGAGGAAAGAGAGACACCAGTCACAGGAAGCTGCTGGGAGGACACCTCCACCTGAAAGCCCCCCTGCCTGGCCCACTGCCAGAGCTGCCACCACCCGTGTTTCCTGGGAGCCCCCCAGCGCAGAGGCTCCCTGGCCCCTGCCCCAGGGCCCACACTGGCTTCTGTGGCTGAGTGAGGACTGAGCCGTGAGTCCAGAGGCCCGGGTTCTGGTCCTACCTCCAGCCTGAGCTCGCCGTGTGGCTGGGGCGCTCCTGGGCCTCTCTGGGCCCAGGTCTCCTGTCCGTGCAGTGGGGCTGACCACCTCCACAGCCACCACTGTCTGTGTTCTCCGGCCATTACAGAGACTGCTTAAAACTACCTGTCTCCCCTGCCTGTCACTCTGCCTCCAGCTCCCACCCCCAACTCAGCGCCTCCCAGCCCCTTGCCTTTGCTCATTCAGACTTCTGTTTTTTCTTAGCCTTGAGGTCTCAGTCTTCCAGGAGTAGATGCCCCACCCACCCCCACTTTTCTTTTTTTTTTTTTTTTGTGAGGAAGATCAGCCCTGAGCTAACATCCATGCTAATCCTCCTCTTTTTTGCTGAGGAAGATCAGCTCTGAGCTAACATCTATTGCCAATCCTCCTCCTTTTTTCCCCTTTTCCTCCCCCAAAGCCCCAGTAGATAGTTGTATGTTGTAGTTGCACATCCTTCTAGTTGCTGTATGTGGGACGCGGCCTCAGCATGGCCAGAGAAGCAGTGTGTCGGTGCGCGCCTGGGCCCCGAACCTGGGCTGCCAGTAGCAGAGCGCGCGGACTTATCCGCTAAGCCACGGGGCCGGCCCCACCCCCACTTTTCTGATGCAGTTTTACATCTGGTTGGGAGAGGGTCTCTGCTAGGTGCAACTGGGCTTAAACACCTGCTTGACCCCATTTCAGCCACGCGAGGAGTTGGGCAGGAACTAGAAGCTGGAAACAGGTTATCTGAGCAGATGGATGTTAAATATCCCCCGGGCCACCGTGGACTGTTGCACAGGTTGTGTACTGCACAAGGGCACTGGATGAGCTGAGGCTGAGATCCAGGTACCAGCCATGGCCCTGCATCCACTCACAGGGGGTGCCCTTTCGAACACACAGCCCCTCAGACACAGCCTCCTCCGGACCAGGGAGTTATGTTGTCATGGTGACCATTGCCCGATCCCCAGCCCAGGTCCCTCGGTTCCTTGGCCTCCCCGCCTTTCCCAGGCCTCGCCAGTCTCCAGCAAGCCCTGAGTGGTGGGTTTTGCCCCCAGGCATGTGGAACGGCTGCTTTTATCAGGAGCCAGCCCTCTCTCTGGTGGTGCACGATACCCAGCAGATGGAGCGGCTGCCGTGGGAAATACCAGCCACGCTGTTATCTGGGAGGCTCGGCTCAGCGGCTCTGGGGCTCCGATTAGGGAGCACAGCCGTTTGCCTATGTGTGCGCGCGTGGGCAGGGCGGGGTGGCGCATGGCTCTGCCCCCTTCCTCCATCGCCACGAGGGCTGGGACAAGCCAGAGGCAGGGCTCCGGGAGAGGGACCTCCAGACCCACAGGTGTGAGAAGCTGGGTCAGACGGGAGGCCTAGGGCTGCCCCACACCTCCTCGCTCGCAGGGTGACCTAGGCCAGCCCCCCACCACGCTGTGTCCCCGAGTCTGGGTGGGACTTGGCCACACGTGGGAAGATTGAGCTGAATTCCACGTTGCTCCTCCCGCAGGAAGGCGGGCACCGGCCTCAGGTGAAAGGCATCGTCTCCTCGTGGGGGCTCCATGCCCGACCAGGCCAGAAACGGGCTGCTTCCTGCATGTTCTGGACACTGAAAGGAAAGTGTGTGAAATGAGGGAGTCACAGCCACCGTCCCTGTCCTGTCTGTGGCCCCAGCAGGAGAACGAAAGCCCAGACAGGCACGTGGGGTCCCCGTCCAGAAGCCCAGGTGCCAACAGCACCTGTGTGGCTCAGAGCGCGTCTGGTTGTCCGGGGTGGTTGGGGGGCCGCGGTGTTAGGATTCTGAATGACTCCCCCTCGACCCCACTGCCCTGAGTCGGGGAGGCCAGTACACAGGCTCGGTCCACGGTGGGCTCCCTCCAGCCTCAGAGCTTGGACCCGTCAGATGGCTGGACAGACGGACAGACAACGGACAAATGAGTGCCCAGCAAGCTGGCCTTTTAGATGGCCTCTTCCTCCTCAGTGCCCCTCACATGCACCCACTCCCTGAGGGCCCACCGGGTGGGGGACCAGAGACCAAGCTGCACCCAGGACACGAGAGGCCAGGGCCCCGGCTCACATCTGGAGCAGGCGGCCTGGGTTCAGATCCTGGCGCCCACTGCCAGCGGCCTGGCCTCTCGGGCCTTGGGGTTCCTCATGTGTCCAGGGGTCATGAGGAGAGGACCGACTTCATAGGGCCGTTCAAGCAGGAGTGGGTGCCAGCCGGGCCACACTCCCATCCCTGATGGTGGCCCAGCTCTCACTCGGCCCCTCGGCGCCAGGCCCTGCAGGGCCAGGGGAGAGGGTGGCCTGTGGGCAGAGCCCTAGGCCGGGACCCAGGCATCCTGGGTGGGCTGGCAGAGGACACAGCCCCTCGTGGGCGGGCCGCAAAATGACAGAGTCAGCCTCTGCCCCCCGCTCCACGGGCTGATAAAGGGGCGCCGGCCTCTGCAGCCTCGTCCTGGTCCCCTGCCATCTTATCTGCCCTGGGGAAGACAAGGACCCAGTTAGAACGTTTCAGCCGGGCCTCCCGGCGTATTTGCACGTTATCTCTGCCATTAGGCCGGCAGTTATCTGATAATCGGGCCCATTAAGGCCACAGCCTGCCCGATCGGGCTCCAGGAAGTGGGGCCGCCACAGTGTGCTCACACGGGGACCATGCCAGGCCACATGGGGCCTCCGTGGCCCAGGCAGCTGGGTGGCACCTGAGGCACAAGGGGGCCCGGCCTTCATGGGCAGAGGGTGGGTGGCCTGGGGAGGAGCCACCCTCTGAGGGTGTGGCTACCACCGTCCCCTGTCCAGTGAGGACCCTGAGGCTCGGGGCCAGTGGGTTGTGCCAGGTGTGAGGCTCCCGGGCAGCCTGACAAATGTGAACATCCTTGGTGCCTTAAAACATCAGAAATCTGTCCTCTCCCAGTTCTGGAGCCAGAAGCTCAAAATCTAGGTGTGGCAGGGCCGCGCTCCCTCCGGAGGCTCCGGGAGGGTCCTTCCCGCCTCTCCCAGCTCCTGGGCTTCTCCCCTGTCTCTTCTCTTCTGCGTGTCTCTTCTAAGGACCCTCGTCATTGGGTGTAGGGCCCACCGGATGATCCAGGACAGTCTCATCTTGAGATCCTAACTTTCCAAAGAAGGGCACACTCACGGGTTCCAGTGGACGTGTCTTTTGGGGGCCACCATCCAGCCCACTCACAAGGTCACGTGGATTGTGTGGCGAGGCCAGGCTGAACCCAGGAGCCTGACTGCAGACCCGGTCCGACCCCAAGGCCCCGTCCACGGCACAGGCAGCAGCAGCCCCTGAGCGCCACACCCTCAGCGAGAGTCAGGGCCCAGACCTTTCCAGAGAGCGAGCAGAGGTCCTGGGAGGGTGCATGGGGGCAGCAGCATTCTGGGGTCCCCGCCAGCCCGTCGCTGCCGACCTGCAGGGAGTGGTCAGAGCTGACGTCAGTGCCACTGGGCGCAGATTCCAGCTTTGCCGAGGGCCGGGGAGGAGTGTGTGGCGCTGTGCCTCAGTTTCCCCCTGTAGGGCCCTGTGCTGAGCGTGCTTGGTGGATTAACTCCTCCGGTCCTCACACCAACCTGAGGAGGCAGGAAGGATTGAGGTCTCCGTCTTACAGCCGCAGAAACCAATGCCCGGCTTCTCCACAGCTGCCCTGCAGGCCTGCTCTGTGGAGTCAGGGCTCAGGCCAACGGGAAGGGGCCGGGAGGAGCGTGCAGAGGGGCGGGAGGCAGTCTCGTCTGCGCCGTGACCCTGTTCTGTGCCCGCCCAGCGTAAGCAGCGGGGTGACTGGGCTCCACCCGTGCACCCTGGGCTTCGGGAGGCACACACGTCCCGACAAGGCGGCAGCGGTCCCCAAGCCACACGCCTGCCTGATCAGACCCAGCTGCAGGCCCCTCCTTGTCCTCTCTCGGACAGGACACGTGGCCCCCAGAACCCGGGCACCAGCCACCATCCGTGTAACTCAGGCCCAGGCCCACGGGGCTGCCCTCCCTCCCCTGCCCCACAGCCCCCTGGCTGCCCCTGGGGGGATGGGGGCTACGGGGGGGCTGGACCTGGGCAGTCCCCAGGGCCGGGCGCTCCTCACGCCTCTGATGTCTCTCCCCGCAGACGAGCTGGAGCTGGTGCTGCAGGATGGGCAGAGGTGCGTGCGGGCTCAACGCGGCCTCGCCGAGGGCCTGTCCTGGGGCCCATTCCGCGGGAGCATCCAGAGCAGAGCCTCATCCCCTGGGCAGGAGGAACCGGTAAGGAGCCCCGACCCCGGCCAGCCCGCCCAGCAGCCGCAGGGCGGCGGCCAGGGCAGCGGCCAGCCCAGGGCCCAGGCCTCTTCGGCCCCCGGGCCAGGCCCAGGCCAGACTCCAGCCCAGGAGCAACTGCCACCTCGAGTGGAACCTGTTGGGAGGTGCGAGCTGGCACCAGGGGGACAAAGAGGAGCTAACTGCCTGGGGGCACAGGAGGGCTTCCTGGAGGAGGGGTTCCCTGAGCAGGCCCTTGACGGATGAGTAGAAGTTGTCGAGGCAGAGGAGAAGGGTGTTGAAGGGGAGGAAGCAACAAGGAGCCAAGCGGTGGGGCTGGACCTGGCCTGTGGCTGGGGCAGCAGGCAGGGACTTCACAGGCGCCACCACCGCTGTGATAAGGGAGGTGATTTCTGGGTGCTTCAGGACAGCCATGGCAGAGGGTGAAAGATTCGTCCATTTCCGTCCCTGTGGGTCCTTCTGATGACAGGGAGAGGGCGCCGTTGGTACCTCAGTGTCCTCAGCACCCCTCCAGTCCTGTGACTCAGAAGCCCCACCTGGGCAGTGCCATCCAAGGCAGCATGTTCCTCACCACTGGGCCATCGTTTGTCTCGGGGTCACTACCTTCTGTTTATGGCAAGTTGGTCTGGCATCCTCTTGCAGGGGGTACAAAGGCTCCTTTTAAAATACATTTCACTTAAGAAAGGACATCAATGTATGGGAAACGAACAAGTAAGTATGGGCGAACGGGCATCATACGGTATGACGGGAACTGGGAAGGGCCTGTGCAGGACAAGCGTGTGCAGGACACCTCCAGCCCTGATAGCACTTCTCTAGGACGCCAGACGGGACCCCAGGTTGGTCCCCTCAAGCCCAGGCTCCGGCACCCCAAATGTGCACAGGCAACCAGAGCCTGGGCCTTTTTTGATTCTTGATGTGGCATTCAGGTGTGGCTTGATCCAGGGTATGCACTGACTGGCAGGTGCCCTGCGGTGCTGTGTCTCCTGGTCCCGAGGCCCCAGGCATGGGCCTCCTGTAGGTCTCCATTTGGTCTGCGGGCAGTGGCGGGGATATGTGGGTGAGGCTTCCCCCGCACCTGGGGGCCAAATGCTGCCCTGACAGCTCTAACCAGCTCCAGCCTGGCAGTTAGAGCCCCCACTTCTCAGCGGCAGAAACCAGGGCCCCAAGAACTCGGCCTGCAGCAGTGTCCATGGGGCTAGTGGGGAGCCACAGGCAGAATCCCCAGCTGCAGACCCTCACACTGGCGCTCACAGCCCCCACCCACTCCTGTGTGTAATAAAACCTGGGCTGCAGGTCAAGCTAAGTTAGAATCTCTGGGCTGGGGCCTGGGCCTCAGAAGCTTGAAGTCTCCTGGGGTCCAAATGTGCAACCCAGCTGAGGCCCCCTGGGCCGCCCACACCGCCTATCACAACTGAGCTGCCAGGCTCAGAGGGGCAGGTGCTTGCCCAGGTGCTTGGAGAGTCTGCGAGAGGCTGGCCCAGGAGGGAGGATGCCCACCTTCATGGCCCCATGTTGCAAGATCTGGATCCCAGGGTCTCCTACCTCCTGGCCATTTTGCTGTGTGCCCCCAGGCAGGCCCCTGACCTCTCTGAGCTTCCGTTTCCTCAGCCTTTGGGACCTCAGGAGGGACACAGGGGAGCCCTGAAGGGTCCTTGAAGCCTGAGCCTGCAGACCCTCCACCCTCCCGGCAGAGGAGAGTGTGGGCAGAGGTGCAGCTTGTCTGTGAAGTGGCCAGGGCGGCTGGGAGAATTAAATGAGGTGATCCATGTGTGGTGCTTACCACGGGGTACAGCTCAGTGGGCACTGTAGCCAGTAGCCCTGTAGGAGGTAGGACCTTCTCATCCCATGTCCCAAGCAGGGATGGAACAGTGGAAGCTCCAGGTGGTGGCTTTCGACTCCGTGGAAGGAGCCTGATTTTGGCATCATTGGAGGATGGAAGCTGTGTGTTGAGAGCTGGCTCTGGAAGCAGTGAGCTCCCTGTCACTGGAGGCATGCAAGCAGCAGTTGACTTCAGAGGGCAGGCTGTTGGGGGGCAGTTAATGGTTGGAAGAAGGAGTGGGTGGGCTGGGAGCTCCGTGTCTCTGTCTCTGAACTCTCCAAGTGTCAAGAAAACCCATAAGCAGTGACAGGACAAAGCCAAGTGGCTGAGGATGGGGAGTGTCAGTGTGGTCTGGGCAGGGCCTGCACCTCTCCTCTTCTCTATCCTTCTGGGGACAGTCAGCCCCTTCCAAGATGGACAAGTGTGTGTTCCAGACTGGCTTACACACTGCCATGCGCCCATCCTCACGCAAGCCCCTCATCTCCTCCTCCCCTGCCCTGTGAGGCAGTACCACCATCTCCATTTTACAGATGAGGAAACTGAGGCTCCAAGAGGTTAGGGACCAGGATCAAATAGTAGAGAGAGGATTGGAACCCACGTCCGCTCCACCCGAGACCTGGCAGGCTCCGTAAGGACAGGACTGAGGGTGGGAGACCCTCTCCTCCACCTGCAGCCTCCTCTCTGGGGTTCTCTCCCCCTGGGGCTTGGGCCACAGGTCAGCCTGGGGAGACTTGGCACGAGGTTGGAAGCCCTCTCCAGATGGGGAGAGAATGTCGGAGGGGAGTGAGGAAGCCAGTGCCAGAGAAACCAGAGGCCTTTGAGGCTCTTGCAGAGGAGCCAGGGAGGAAGGAGCCGGCCTGCGCTTCCCTGCACCTTTATCTCCTGCAGAGTTAAATCCCTGATTAACCCTTATCTCTCCAGCGGTCGCTATCTCCGCCTTGGCGCCGAGCGTCCAGACACACCGCACAAGATGATTGATTTCTTAAAGATACGCACGCCTTCCCGATACTTCATTTATTGTCTAAATATTTTTGCTAACATTTCAGCGGGCCCTTATCAAGCTCGGCTGATGGGTCCCAGGTCTCCCCACGCACCTCCCACCCCAGATCATGCCTATCAGCCACCAGGCGGGTTGTCTCTGCTGTGTGGAGAGGAAGGACGGTGCCGAGGGGGTGTGGCGACCCTTCCCCTGTCGTCTCCTTGGCCTGGGTGCTTGCAGGCAGGAAGAGGGGCAGACAGCCAGACAGCGCTCCCCCACAGTCTCTGCACACATCAGACGTTGGGAGTGGGAGCCCCATAAAGGACACAGAGTGCGCAGAGCCTGGCCAGGGTGGAGAGTCCGGTCCGGCACCAGCTTGCTGAGTGATCTCGGGTGGGTCCCTCCCTGATCCAGCTGTGGCTTCCCCTGCTGGAAACCCAGGGCTTGGAGGCCCAGCCAGCTCAAAACTTTGGAATCAGATACAAAAGAAATGTTCAGAATGGATGGATGGGTGGATGGATGGGATGGATGGGTGAATGGGTGACTGGATGGGTGGATGGGTAAGTGGATGGGTGCACAGGTAAGTGAGTAGGTGGGCAGGTAGGTGGATGGGTGGATGGGTGAGTGAGTGGAAGGGTGGGTGGATGGGTGGGTGGGTGGATGGATAGATGGATGGATGGATGGGGGATGGATGGATGGATGGATGGATGGATGGATGGATTGGGGATGGATGGATGGATGGATGGATGGATGGGGGATGGATGGATGGATGGATTGGGGATGGATGGATGGATGGATGGGTGACTGGATGGGTGGATAGGTGAGTGGATGGGTGCACAGGTAATTGAGTAGATGGGCAGGTAGGTGGATTGGTGGATGGGTGAGTGAGTGGAAGGGTGGGTGGATGGGTGGGTGGATGGGGGGATGGATGGATAGATGGATGGATGGATGGATGGATGGATGGATGGGTGGATAGGTGAGTGGACGGGTCAGTGGGCGGATTGGTGGATGGGTGAGTGAGTGGATGGGTGAGTGGGTAGATGGATGAATGGGTGGATGGGTAAGTGAGTAGATGGGTGGACAGGTGGATGAATGAACAAATGAACTGTTTCACCCCCAGCCTGGCCCACGCTGGCTTGGCCCATCTATCTGTCTAGTCATCCCCCCAGGGCTCACCCACTTTAGCCATGAGGCCACTGTGACATCAGTGAGACCTAGGAGGAGCGAGCAGGGCTGCAGGTCCAGTGTCAGGGTCCTTACCATGGCAGAGCCAACCTCACCGCAGGGCAAGCCCTGGCCCAGGGGCCTCCTGTCCAGCAGCCGGTGGGGGCTGAGACATGACGCCTGGGTGCGCGCCTGTTGATGTCCCTGTCTCCCTCTTCAATTCTCATTTATGTCTGTCTGTAATAGCTAATAGATTCATAAGGGATGGGGGACACACGGGGAAGACCCCAAGCCCAGGTGTGAGGCGCTGCAAGGTCCTTCCTTACCCAGATGGAGATGCACCGCGAGCCGCCCCACGTCCAGCTTTGCTCACCTGATGAAAGGCTTCTGAGTTCCGCGTCGGGCGTCCCCTTCCCGGGGTGTGCAGGGTGCCCTGTCGCTACTGCCTCCGGCTGTCCAGCCCTGTGGTTCCTCCCTGGAAAGTGGAGTGAGCAGCGTGCGGCTCGCTGGGAGACACCCTGATGGCAAGCGGTTCCGACCCACACAGATCCGAGCGCCAGTGGAGCAGCATCTGGGCCGCCCGCCCGCCGGTCCTGCACACATCCCTGCCCCGACCCCGCTGCCTCACTCAGCAGTCTGTGGGCCTCCCCAGGCCCCCACGGCTCCCAGGAGCCTCGCCCAGCCTTCCCAGCCCGTGTGCCCCACACAGTGGACCCGGCAGCTCCACGGGGCCCTGCAGCCCCATGGGAAGGGCCGTGAGACTGTGCTCCCCACCACATAACTGGGTGTGGCCTCGCCCAGACCCTGGGAGAGCCCATAGATCACTAGGACCACGGCGGCCCTTCCCCGCAGGCCTGGGGCTGAACTCTCTGCTAACCCACTATGGCCATGTAGCAGCTGTTCCAACTGCCCCATGGTACAGATGGGGAAACTGAGACTCAGAGAGGGCCCAGAATGTAAGTTTCCTGTGGCTGCTGTAACAGAGCACCTCAACCTGGTGTCTGAAGCAGAATCGTATTCTCTCTT